GGAGTGTGGGGATGAGGGCTGCCAATGGCAACAGGGTGAGACGAAACCTCACCTGTTCAAGCACTGTGGATAAGAGCTGTAGCTCTAAGTGGTAAAGCTTCTGTTTTCCCTACAGCCAGTTGTTTAATAGAATCTTAGAAAAGAGGTGTTGATTCCTCAATAGGCATAAGGCCTACCGAGATCAGTATAGCTTGTAAGATACAAGTTAGGATTGAACCTTACATTCGCGTTAGCACCAACTGAAGACGGAGACACGCTTCTCAAATAATGCTACCGTGAGTGAGAGACACTGAATCCTCATGTGGATGGTGAGCAATTTTACAAGGGTGAGACACGTGTGGACAGTACTTAACTTTATGTTAACACTGTGATAGCAACAAGTGTTTCACAACACATTAAACTGCAGAGACTTACAGCTCTGGGCTTTCTCAGACAACAGTCAATCTGTCTGCTTGACCATTGACCAGGACTGTGTTTCTATGTGACTTGATACTAATTTATGAGGAGTGGCTGTGGGAAGATGTACAGAATTGTCTCTTATTTGCAGAGAAAGGCACTTGTTACTTTTTGCTCAGTACTTTGATGAGAACTGTTTCATGAAACTGTGGATAGGGGAGATACCTGCTGGTCTGTGACTCCCTTGTGAACATAAAACACAATGATTCAGCTACCTGTGATAATTAATAAACAAAGACACTTAAATAATGCCTTTAAGATATTGCATGTACAGACTTGACTATAATGCAAGAATTTACTAATCTGGGTCTTCAACAAACACTCATTTTCCAAAAGTTTGACACACAGGACATCTTCTGTCATATAAATAGTGTCATAAATGACACTTATTTCAGGAAACAAAAATGTATTTAATTCATGACATGTCTAGAGCCATGAGACTTTGGAGCCAGAAGGGACCTTGGGGGTCTCTGCTGTAAGCCTGGGAGATAAGGGGTTGGTGGGAGATCCAACCCCTGCAGGTAGCCTCCAAACTCCGGTCAGGAGTTCCTGGCCCTTCTTTGCATCCTTCCCTCAGGAATGCAGCACCTACATATCTAGAGGCAGACAGTTCTAGGAAGCACTTTAGCCAGCCCTTTCTCCCATAACCATTGGCATGGTCACACTGTCTAGTAGTGGAGGAGAAGCAAATACTCATTTCTGGGCTTGAAGGATCCCAAGGTATGGAAGGTTGACCACTGAGGTTCAATGGAACCAAGATGGCTTCAGTTAAAAACATGACCCTCCAGAAGTCCAGGTTCCTGGACTAGCCCCAAGCTTTATAAGCTGGTTCTTCAGGTAGTTAAAACTCAGATGGCAGTGGTCATCCTTAACTCATCATCAGGCCCTGAACACCCAGCCAAAGTGAGTCAACTATAGGTACCAGTTCTTTCTGCAGCCAAGGACTGACTCCCATCCAGAAAAAGCTTATTTCTAAAATGGTTCTTCTGCTGCTGGACAAGACTGTGAAGCCCCAATTTCTACATGGGTTGTCATACTAAGGGCACTGACCTGCTGCTGATGTCCCTGTGTTGATGGGAATGTGCACATTATTCTGCTATGGACCCCAGATTGCAGAATCCGCGGTAGAGGCAGGAGGGAGGTGAAGTCTGGATGAGGCTCTGTCTGTATGAGGGATCCTCCAGGTCAGGCAGAGGCTGTTAGCAGTCAGCTAGGCTTTTAGGTTTCCCCACTGCTCAGTCACAAACACTGCAGTGAGTGTTTGTGATCTGGGGGCTCCATGTGATCTCTGGTTTGGTTACTGTCTCAGTCTGTTTTCCCCAGAAGCAGACCCCAAGGCATGGCTATGAGTGCTTGGAGTTTATTTGAGAAGTGGTCCTAGGAACCAGTGGAGGAGTGGAGAAGAGAGGCAGGGAAGGGGAGACAGCCTGCTCGAGCTGGTCCTCACTGCAGGTGCCCAGAGCAAGGTCTACTGGGGAAGTCGGGGCATCAGTGGGCAGCATACATCCCAGGGTCATTGCCCCAGCAGAGGCAAAGGAGCTGGAGGATTTATACTCTTCCTGTCAGTCACTGGATAGGGCTCTTCTCGGGGAGGGGAGCACTGCCTACACTGTGCCTCTAGACCAGTGTGTAGAGTCTAGACACTCCCAGCCTGCCTTCTGCACAGGAAGGGGCGCGCCTGCTGTGTCAGGGACCCCCGGGCAGGTGGACCTTGGGCCAATGTGCAGCAGCACGGTAAAGAGATAAGAAGCACTAACAGCTTCTGGAACAGTCTCTTTAGCCCAGATCTACTCCCCAACCAAGATGTGTGTGTGTCTGCATGTGTGCACTGGACAGATAGTTGCGGTCCTATTACAAGGGAAGTTTACTCTGATCCTGAAGGTGGGAACCTGGGAGGTTCTGGTGCAGTATTTTCCCCATCCCATTCTTCAGAGCATGACAAAGCACCGCAGTGGTTAGGACTCTGGCTTGACACTGCACGCACGGATGGGAAATAGGCACTAACCTCTTCCTTCAGTGCTGGCACAGGGGTGTTGCTTCACAACAGTGACGTTTCTTTTCCTTGAGGTTGTTAAGGGGGCTCTGAGGTTTTTATTATTTGCTGGGCTCTGGCTTTGTGTTACCCCTGTGCCGTAAAATTCAGTTGTCTCAACTCTATAAGGGGGCATGGTTATACCCATTGTACAGATGAGGCCAACGTGCATTTGTCCAATCAACCATGAAGACCCAGACAGGGTCCTAGGGATAGATATAAAAACAAGGTGCATATGGGCTTGTTGACATGCTGGGAGCAAGTTCAAGGGCCACAGGGCAGCTCCAGCCGCTGAGTGGAGAAAGAACTGGAGGGGCCACAGAGGGCAGCTAGGAGGCAGGTGTAGTGAGCAGACAAGAAAAGGCCTGGACTTAGAACCAAAGTCAGAGTTTGCAAACTGCATGGCTGTGTTTCACATTCTGTCTAACCCTGAAGCCTATCTCTATGCCCTTCTGATTCTAAACAACCTTCCATAGATGGACCTCTATTTCTGTTTTCCTTTAATCGGAGGAACCCATTCTTGATGGAGAAAGATATATTGATTTTCTCTTTTGGTTTGCTATCTGCGTTTTTGTATACACTGATTCATGGTTGATGGTGGGACAGACTTTAACTTTGGGAAACTGGCACATTTGGGAGTTTGGATAAAAGTGATGCCCCTAATTTCCTACTCAGTGAGGGCACAGGGAAGGGTGGACTTTCCTCCATTTCCTGCTCACATTCTGCCCAGGAGAGCCCAGTACAGACGGGTGGCTGTGCCTCCAGAAGGTAAGGCTCGCAGGTGAATGGGGGTTGAATGTGCCGGACTCATCCCAGGCTGGCATCCCACTGGCACAGCGTGAGTTGGGACCACAAGGCAGCAGAGTCAGTAGGATGTGGGGCCATCGTAAGAAATAACACACTATGCTTCAGTTGCCATCTGGCTCTCAGCCCTAGCAGGCAAAATGTGACTGTAATGGGGCATCGGATCAAGCTGCAGGGAGGATCAAAGCTCATAACCGTAGAGGAGGCAAGGGGTTGGAGCCTGCATCCCAGGGAAGGGCTGCCTGTGAAGGCCAGAATCTGCTCTTCGCCAACAGACATGCCCAGGGAAAGAGGGATACTCCATCCCCAGACTCAGGACGTGGTTGGTTTATGAGGGAGGATTCAGTGGTTATGGAGGATGGGCTGGGAATGAGTGAAAGGCAGAGTGTGAGGTGTTGGAAGGTTCAGGGGCTCAGTCATGATAGCGCAGATTGCTCTATGGTGGTCCCTCCTGGGCTGGCCAGCCCCTTGCTTAGCACCCCAGCTTGGCTGCTGAGCAGATGAAGGGGGCTCATGGACTATATATATGGGTTACCCGCAGTCATTAGCTTAGAGAGCCTGCTCTCAGAATAGGGAAAAAAAATGGATCCTAAGTACAAAGAATTCAAGATATTGCCAGACAAGATCTAATCTGAGTTTCAGAAGCAGCAGCCTATAGAGGAAGGAGCCTGTGACTTGAGGCCAAGAGGTTTGTGATGCAGCCTCTGAAACTTACTAGCTGTGGGCCTCGAGTGGGGACCTCCACGACTAGTCTCAGTCACTTCCTCTGCACAGGGCTGTGTCTGCCTCAAAGGTTTTACACGAAGTGAACTAACACACGCAGAGCACCAGACACAGGGGAGACGCTGGACAAATGCTGGCGTCTCCCCTTCCACCGCAGGCAGCAGGGGTCACGTCTAGGGTGGACGTACTTAGGTAGGAGCTGTAGGGGGAACCCAGGCATGTCAGGGAGGATGGTGGGAGAGAGGGCCGGGATCCCCTTCTGCCAGAGGTAGGGTCTATTTTCTGTGGTTTTCACACCACGTCCCTTGGAACTCAGTGGCCTACTTGGACTTGGAAGGAGGAGAGGACGGTGGGACTGAAGATCAAGTGATTGGGGTTTTGGGGACCCCTCGGAGCAGCAGCGTTTGTATCTGATTAGAACCCTGGGATTCCATATAAGGTCTGTTTGGGAAAGGTTCTAACTAAGTCAAGCCCAGATCTGAAAACTGCAGAGATAATGACCTAGAAGGCAACTTTCAGTGCAAAGGCTTTATACTATGAGACGAAGTTTTATCACTGGCTAATTGCAAAGGCTTTATACTATGAGATGAAGTTTTATCACTGGCTAAAAGAGGGCTGGCTAGATGCCCTCAATCCACAGGAAACACTTCTTGGGGGAAGGGTGGTGTGAAGTAACACAGCTCTTACCAGTAAGAGGCTGTGGGTACTACATCACAGACTCGAAAGGCAAGGGCTGTCTTGATGAAAGATGGGATATGAGAGGTCTTGGGAGATATCCAAGGACACGCAGGGCTGTTTTCCTGATTGAATAACTCTGCATTAATCAAGTCAAGTTTTCCTGGGCTCTCCCAAGTGCACAGGGATGGGCATTTCAGAGAGTGCTGTTTGGGGTCTCAGCACATCTCAGCACAAATACAGAGCCCCGCCCCAGTGGCAAGAGAACAGGCAGAGACGGGGCGGTCTGCTGTGACTTCACAGCCCTTACCTTCTTCAGCTCTTCCTGGACACTCTGGCTGTTGTCTTCAGAGGACAGACTTTCCTTCTGGTTCTCAGACTCGGTCTTGGGCTCGGATTCCTGATCCTCCCCAGAAGAAGTCTCCTTCTCACTCATTTTCATTGCTAGCTCGTACAGCCTGGTCCTCCGTTTCTCTTCTGCAGTGTCTGTGCCGGCCCGGGGGTGCCGAACCTCACTGCTGATGTCAGTCTCTGATAAATCACCTGACACCTGAAGGAAAGCCAGAATCATGAGCTGAAGACCCTTCTGCTACAGCCATGCTATTCCCGATAATCTCCGGGTAGAGGTCAGTCCTTTACATCAGGCTTCCCTGTGGCTCAGCGGATAAAGACTCTGCCTGCAAGGCGGAGACATAGGAAATGTGGGCTCAGTCCCTGAGTTGGGAAGATCCCCTGGAAAATGAAATGACAACCCGCTCCAGTATTCTTGCCTGGAAAATCACATGAACAGAGGAGCCTTGTGGGCTCCTGTCCATGGGGTTGCAAGAGTCAGACATGATTTAGCGATTAAACCACCAAAGGTCAATGAAAATGAAGGTAAACTAAACGGGGAAAATGAGGCTCTTACTTGATCTGCTTTCCCTATGGATGGGCTCTTACTTTTTATTCTTACTTTCTCAAACATATGCATCTTAATACTTTGTTAAAGCTTTAGGCAGAACCAATGCAATACTGTAAAGCAATTATCCTTCAATTAAAAAAAAAAAACTTTAGGCAGGTGAGCATCTTAGTCAGAAAAGTGAATTCAGTGTTTTTCATTTGCAGAATACGTATCCAGTGGCCACTAAGGGCAACACTGTGCTGGTACTGAGGATGCAAGTCTGAGCAGACCTCCACCAGCTCCCAGTGGAGACACTAAAACCCTGCCAAGTGCAGAGAGGCAGGGGTGGGGACAGAGGCTCTGACAGCCCTGGTGAGGGGCACCGGATGGGAGGGCTGGGGTTAGGGAGAGCTGGCTTGTGGAGGTGGTGTTTGAGTTGAGATTCAAAGTGCAGCAGTTACCCAGCTAAAAGGGAGAGAGGAAAGAACTGTATTCCAGGCAGATCACAAAGATTTTGAGATGGTGTGACGTTCTTGTGCATACGTAAGGAATACTATGCCACCTTCCCTTGATAGTCACACAATTATATCTCTGGCTCCTACCATCTCCTAGAGCTTCCTCTGTGAGTAGAGCCCTGACCGGGCCTGGGGAACGCCAGGAAGACCTGGAAATTGTTAAGCCTCACTCTATTCTTCACCTCATGTTGGACAGATGTGTATGGAATTTTAACAAGATAACCCTCAGCATACCATCAGGGTCCACTGCACACAATATTAGCTTTTGAATTTCCTCTTTGAGTTGTTCTATCTGTTTAAAAGGCTTGGTCTTTCATGACTTTTATTCTTTCTTGAAGAACTCCCAAAGAACAAAGAGAAAATGTAATAATTCTGTAAATAAAACTCCTTCCATCTTGCAATTATTATTTGGGTTCATTGGACCCTTTTATAAATCTAAGACACATAAAGAGATTTTTATGATCTCATTTTCCTTATCTTTGGAAATATTTTTCTGTTTTATCATCTTGGGAATTATCTTTCATCATTACTCATCAAATACTTCCAATTATGCTAAAAAAGAGACTAGAATAACAAAAAAGAAAAATGGAATTACTTAGAAGGATGATTCAACATGGAAATAAATCATCACCATTTTAAGTCTGCTTTTAGCTCACTGTATACAGTTGGGAATTCAAAATTTTTCATAATGACAAAGGAAAATAACTGAGAGAACAACATTTCACAATTATTAGATGACTCAGAGGATGAAGTTGGAGAGCAGCTCCACAGACTCTAACGATGATGGACGAAATTGGTTGTCTAAGTAAAATCTCAGACTAAGAGTCTTCAGATGACAGTGTCCTAAGTGAATTTTCTCAAACCAAGAATCAATAAGTAAACAAAGAATCGATGAGTAAACAATGTATCTATCAGGATAAGAGAAAAGATGGTATTTTCATTTAGTTCGTCATTTGACAGGAACAGCTTCATCACACAACATTTCCCAACAAGAATCTAGACCATCCTGTTCTGCTAAAAGGGTGTGGCAGATTCTTTATGAAGTTCATGTATCAAATTTGCTTGATTCAGTTTATAATTGGACAACTGCTTAAGGGAGCTGTTTATATAAAGGCAATTAAAAGGAGACAGATGATAGAAGTGAAAAAAAAAAATTCCCGGGCTTGTTAACCGGGTTCCTTTGGTTGTTGTTTTTTTTTTTCTGGGCCTGAGTAAGAATCAATGGTGAGGACCTCATGAGAGGTGGCTGATGCCCCCAGCACGCTTGAGAAGGAGGAATCCTATGTTCTTAGGACTTGGGGGGAGCTGCACGGGAAGAACGGTCTCTCTCTCTTCTTGAGAGATGAGGAGCATTTTAATATGTTGACATGGGATAGGCATTGTTGATGAGGAAGCAGCAGGATGGTTAAGACCCAGGGTGCATGAAGCTGCTTGGCACAGTTAGAGGAATAAGGCTCAGAGGTGGAGAGCATGGGGAGCTTTGGGGTGGAGAAAAGAGGCCCAGGTCAGACGGCAGAGGAGTAAGCGTCTGCCAGGTGGCGCTAGTGGTAAAGAACTCACCTGCCAATGCAGGAGACGTGAGAGATGAGGGCTTGATCCCTGGGTTGGGAAGATCCCCTGGAAGAGGGCATGGCAACCCACTCCAGTATTCTTGCCTGGAGAATCCCATGGACGGAGGAGCCTGGCGGGCTTCAGTCCATGGGTTCGCAGAGTCGGACACAAGTGAAGCGACCTAGCACCGCACAGCAGGCGTCTAAGGAGTAAGCTTTACCTGTCAAGTATCTCCAGGCTCCTGTGTCTCCCCAGGCTGCCGGGTGGCACCGAGGGCCCTCAGAAGCTGGCTCATGGAAGACCTTGGGTGTTCCTGGAAGGTGAGCACGCAGGAGCTCCCTAGAGCAGAAATGAGGTAGCTGCCCAGGAGCTGCACGACAGGGTGCAAGCGGATGAAAGTGAGAGCCGAGGTGGGGCCTGAGGGAGAGATCCAGGGTTCTAACTGAGCACACAAGGGCAGAGCCTTAGACGCTGGCGGGATGCCCAGGCTGGGGGGCCGTGCAGAGGATGACTTGATGAACAGGGGCCCCATCACTGAGAGACCTGCAGGGACCAGGAACACTGCTCGGCTCTCAGAGGACACCAGAAGGCCCCTCACAACCCAAGATGGTGAAGGTGGAGGAAGTGGAGGGGTTGGATGACTGGTTATTTACTTTAAAAATATAGTTTAAACAGAAAGTTGATTAAATTGCAAGCGGCTAAGTGTCTGTTGGATTGGCTGGTTTTACATTCCTGGCTCTTCAGAGTGGGGAGACTGATGAGGAAATTTAAGGCAGTTACAGAAGAACAAAAAGTTACCCTTTCTTTGCACATTTATATTTAGTGTGTGGAGTGCATGCTTAGTTGTGTCTGACTGTTTGTGACCTCATGCTCTGTAGCCCACCAGGCTCCTCCGTCCGTGGGATTCTCCAGGCAAGAATACTGGAGTGGGTAGCCATTCTCATCTCCAGGGGATCTTCCCAGCCCGGGATAAACCTGAGAATCCTGCATTGACAGGTGGATTCTTTACCACTGAACCACCTAAGAAGCCCCTAATGTGGCTGCTGCTGCTGCTGCTAAGTCGCTTCAGTCGTGTCCGACTCTGTGCAACGCCATAGACGGCAGCCCACCAGGCTCCCCCGTCCCTGGGATTCTCCAGGCAAGAACACTGCAGTGGGTTGCCATTTCCTTCTCCAATGCATGAACGTGAAAAGTAAAAGTGAAGTCACTCAGTTGTGTCCGACTCTTCGCGACCCCATGGACTGCAGCCTACCAGGCTCCTCCATCCATGGGATTTTCCAGGCAAGAGTACTGGAGTGGGGTGCCATTGCCTTCTCTGCCTAATATGGAGATTCTGGCTAAATAAGGATGATGTTATTGTTGTTCAGTTGCTAAGTCATGTCTGACTCTTTTCGACCTCATGGACTATAGCATGCCAGGTTTCTCTGTCCTCCACTATCTCCCGGAGTTGGCTCAAATTTATGTCCATTGAGTTGGTGATGTTATCTAATCTCCTGCCATCCCCTTCTCCTTTTGCCCTCCGTCTTCCCCTGCATCAAGGTCTCTTCCAGTGAGTTGGCTCTTCACGTTAAGTGTCCAAAGTACCAGAGCTTCAGCTTCAGCATCAGTCCTTCCAATAAATATTTGGGGTTGATTTCCTTTAATATTTGATGACTGGTTTGATCTCCTTGCAGTCCAAGGGAGTCTCAAGAGTCTTGTTCAGCACCACAATTCAAAAGCATCAATTCTTCAGCGCTCAGCCCTCTTTATGGTCCAACTCTCACTTTCGTACATGACTACTGGGAAAACCATAGCTTTGACTATATGGAACTTTGTTGGCAAAGTGATATCTCTGCTTTTTAATATGCTATCTAGGTTTGTCATAATTTTTCTTCCAAGAAGAAAGCGTCTTTTAATTTCGTGGCTGCAGTCTGCCCTCTTAGCGCAGCTGGCAGCGCGTCAGTCTCATAATTTCGTGGCTGCAGTCACTGTCTCCAGTGATTTTGGAGCCCAAGAACATAAAATCTGTCACTGCTTCCATTTTTCCCCCTTCTATTTGCCATGAAGTGATGGGACTAGATGCCATGATCTTAGTGTTTTGAATGTTGAGTTTCAAGCCATCTTTTCACTCTCCTCTTTCACCATCATCAAGAGGCTCTTTAGTTCGCCTTCACTTTCTGCCATTAGATGGTATCATCTTCATATCTGAGATTATTGATATTTCTCCTGGAAATCTTGATTCCAGCTTATGATTCATCCAGCCTGGCATTTCCCATGATGTTCTCTGCGTACAAGTTAAATAAGCAGAGTGACAAAATACAGCCTTGTTGTACTCCTTTCCCAATTTTGAACAAGTCAGTTGTTCTATGTCTGCTTCTAACTCTTGCTTCTTGACCTGCATACAGGTCTCTCAGGAGACAGGTAAGGTGGTCTGGTACTCTCATCTCTTTAAGAATTCTCCAGTTTGTTGTGATCCACACAGTCAAAATGTAGTCAATGAAGCAGAAGTAGATGTTTTTCTGGAATTCCCTTGCTTTCTCTATGACCCAGCGAAAGGTGGCAATTTGATCTCTGGTTCCTCTGCCTCTTCCAAACCCAGCTTGTTCGTCTAGAAGTTCTTGGTTC